AGAGCTGAGTGGCTCATGAATTTCATTAACTATATTGCTAATGCTTCCACTGGCTTATACATCCAAATCATGTATAGGCTGTAACATACAGATGTCTAAATTTAGCTGCCATAACCTGTGAGCTGAACACCACCTTTGTTTCACAGAAAGTGTATTGCAGTAGGCATTTCTTATAGCAGCATTTAATTTTTACTGAGGATCGTTCTCTGTCGTGCAACGCACTTTAGTCTAAATTCGATAACTATTTCTTCCCTTAGTTTGAGATGCACTGAATACCTTCATATTTTTCAGGCCTGTTTTTTTTTTTTTTTTTCCCAATTACTTCTATCATCACTATGCACTGCTCTGAAAATCCAGTTCCGGTTAGTTTAAGCAATCTTGGGGAAGCTCAGCATTGGCAAAGCTGCCTGCTGGAAGGATTCTTTTTAATCTGGAGTCCACGCAATCAAGCTTTTGCAGGAAAAATTATGACCATGTGAGAGTTAAACATGTACTCTTGTCGAGAAATTTCACTCACCTTAACAGCCTATCTTTGCTACAAGACCAAGAAGAATAGCTGAAAAAAAATATTTTTAATCTTGTTGTTATGTAGTTTTTAAAGGGATTTTAAAAATGCTTCAAAAGTTAGACTGTGTAAAGATCCTAGAGGGTTAAAGGGAGAGAAAGCAGCTTTTCCCAGCTGATACAGCTTAATGTATATTGCAGCTGTCCTATTCAAGCTTCGCTTGGGAGAGGTCATTTCTCAGGTTGGTACTGGCTATGAGTAGGGGTGGGTGATGTTCTTGGAGTGTTGCCTCACTGTTCCAGACTGCAGATATCCAGGCAGGCCAGCAGCAAGCCCAGCAGACACTGAGCACCAGGAGGTGGCAGTGCCTCCACACAGACCACGCAGCAGTGCCAGACACAGCCTGCACAGCCCTTCTGCTGCCTTCGCAGGCTCACTGTGATGCAACACGTCCTTGAGGCATTCCTTACTCCTACACAGAACTTCATGTCCTCGGATGTGCCACCAGGAAAGGATCAGAAGCCTTTTCACAGCCTAAGCAAAATCTTTATCCAAGAAAAGTTTGCACTCCCCAGAATTATTAACCTCACAGAATCATAGAATCATTTAGGTTGAAAAGACTTTCACAGTCATCAAGTCCAATCGTAAACACTGCCAGATCCACCACTAAACCATGTCACTAAAGCACCACTTCTACAGGTCTTTTAAGTAACTCCAGGGATGGTGACTCAACTGCTTCTCTGGACAGCCTGCTCCAATTTTTAACAACCCCTTCAGTGAGGAGATTGTGCCTGATATCCAGTCTAAACCTCCCCTGGCACAACTTGAGGTCATTTCCTTTTCCCCTATCACTTGTTACTCTGTAAAAGAGACTGGCACCCACGTTGATACAACCTCCTTTCAGGTAGCTGTAGAGAGTAATAAGGTCTACCTCAAGCCTCTTTTCTCCAGGCTATACAACCTCAGCTGCTACTCATAGGATTTGTTCTTGAGTCCTTTCACCATTTTTGTTACTCTTCTTTGGACCCAATCCAGAACCTCAATTTCTTTCTTGTATTGAGGAGCCCAAAATCAAACACAGTATTCAAGGTGCAGCATCTCCAGATTGTTCCAAGGGCACATCCTTTTCACAAGTTATGTAAATAGTGGGTTTGCATATATACAAAATATCTTTGTATAGCCCTTGATTTCAGCTTAAGGCTTTGTGGCACTTACATCCTCCCTGACAACAGATCTTCCAAAAGAGCTGATAACCCTCCTGCCCCAAGGACCTGTCAAGGACGACCGGTAAGGCCTAATGACTTTGTTTACCATGTCTTTTGTGCACTGGCCCCGAGCTAATTAGTAATTGACCGCAGCCAGACTCCATTTAGGTATAAAGAGGAAACCGCCAGAGTGTTTATTTGAGTCAATCCTCCTCAGAGCAGTGAGTTTACAAGTGGAGGTTCTCCCCTTGGATCCAGATTGTACTCAAGGAAACGTCCCCGAATTGAGAGCTCCCACTGCCCCCCCACTGGTGAGTGATACTTCTGGATACAAAATTGAGAGAAGCCTTCCCCCGCTGTGGGTGAGTGATTCCTTTCCTGGGTACCTTTGAGGGAGAGGTTTTTCCCATCTTTTGAGAGTGAGAGAGTTCACATTTTGGGTCCTATTTCTAGAGGAATAGTGATGAATTCCTAAATTAAGTTCTGTAGTGATAACTCCCAGCTTACATCTGAACCTGTAATATACTTTTGTCTGTTGGAGTGTGTGGTGGTTTTTGGGTTGAAACAAACTTTGATTTTTAGTCGCTGTCTGTCCTGTGTTTGTGGCTGCCTCCGAGACAGGCTTACACACCCTGATCCGAAATATTTGAAAAGTAAAAGGTTTGGAAATGTTGATAACATTAGGAGGGATGCAGGGATGTTTTAGATAAAGGACAATCAGAGCAGGTGTCTGGTCTACTGGTGCAGTTGCTGGAGAACTTCTGAGGCATAATGTTGGATCTCGGTGAGATGTGAGGGTGGCCAGAAAGAACTTGTGGCAAAAGTGGATAACTGGGGAGTTTATGTGAGCTGAATATGCACGGTGATGGTGTGCAGGTATAAACTAGGTTGTGGGGCCTGGTAGGAATGGTGGGATGGCTAGAGCTGCTGAATTTTTACAAGACTGAACACTGAATGATTGACAGAAATATCCTTCATAATGTACTGAGACCTACCACCTTTCTTTGCCATCATTTCTCCTTCCACTGGATCTTTGGTCTAGTAAAGAAGTTTTCCAACAATAAAAGAAGGCTTACAATAAGATAAAGGTCTTAAAGTCAAATGCAGGCCATTCTGGGACCTCAGCTGGCACATGGGAATTGCTGTGTGACACAAAATGGCTGATGCATGTACCAAATAAACAATAAAGTTTGCTGGGAGAGAAAGTAACAAGGAGTTTGTACTGAAAGAAGTATCTCTAACAAAAAGCTTCAAGACAGATTTTCTTTGGAAGAAACGTTTCCAGGTCAGCCAAAAGCAGAAGTATAATTCATTCCAACTTTCTTCCTTCCCAAAGGGGGATGAAGAAATAAGGGTTAATGCCTTCCTATAAACAATTCAGTAATGTTTACCACAACTATCTCCTCAATAAAACATTCAAAAGTAGTCAGATACCTGAACTAATGGTTTTCTTTCAAAAACGGATAAGAGCAGCTTACCACAGACCCATGTCTTAATGAGAGCATCTTGGAAGGGGAGTGGGACATTAACTCAGGATTGCGTAATGTAAATCATTTCTTGGATTAAAAGATCCAAATTGTATGTATTCAGTGGTTTCAAAATGATATCTCTAGTAAAAAGTTATGTCTGTCTTTGTCTTATAAAATCTCAAACGAAATATCCAAACTGACACAATTAAATTTTACAAACTCAAAACAGCTGTAATTTTCACTTGTGTTTTATAGACGTACATCATACGAATGTGCTCACATCACTACTCTAGGCAACAAACAACATAGGAGCAAAGGTCACTTTTACAAGGTGAAATAATAAGGAGATCAGAATAGACAAAAAAGACACCTTACAGAGGACATCTGTTTCATTGGGACAGATGGGTTAAATGCCTAATTAATAAAGGACTGATCTGAATCATATTCATAGAAATCTGGACAATTCATCTCTGCTCTAAAAATGGAACTAGAGAGCAAGGCTCTAAAACCAACAGAGAGGTTTCCACAAGGTCAAATGTCTCCTAGCCTAAATTAACCAAGAGTAGAGCATTACTTTTTAGAGCTAGACTGATATTGCAGTTCACAGAAAGCCAGCATGTGCTCGAAAGGCCATGGTCTCTAGCAATGCTTTCAAGCTTGAATGCAGGTTCTCCTGGGAATGGTCCTGTCTTGAATCATAGCGGTGTCTGGTGTACCTTGTGCTCTTTCTTTACATTGTAAAGTTTGAGGTAGAGTCCAGCTTAGTTCTGAAGAAAGAGGAAGGCCACCCAAAGAAGTGATGCAAGCACCACATTGCTTCACTCTTGCACTAGACCATACTTTGCTTCACTAATCCACACTGCTGTGTTGATAATTCTGACCCCAGAAACATCATTAAGTGGAGTGATAATAAGCTGAGAAATCATGGGCAAGATTGAGATAATTGTGGCAACCACAGCAGATCAGTTCTGAAAGGGAAGTTCCAAGATAAGCACAGAAGTGTGGTTCATTTGTCTATTTCATTGATGGATCCAGCGAGTCTTGGAGGTTATGGTGGCGTGAGGTCTGTTACAGTTACACGCGGTCCAGCATCTGGGCACTAAGACTAGGTCTGTAAGTTATTCTGAGCTCGAGGTAGCCCAGCTGGCATATTCCCTTCGGTTCTTCTTTCAGATGTGCATAATCTGACAAATGTTCAGCTACTCCATGTTTTTCCACAGACAAGACAGGGATTGGGGTCCTCTGGGCTAATTAGTCTCTC